AAAGATCCCATATTCATATCGAATGCCATAACCGTACGCTGCAAGTCCCAAGGTGGCCATTGAATCCAGGAAACATGCTGTGTGCAGAAGAATTAGACATGAAATCAGAAACATAAAACCCCTGTAGTGAAATTAGAATTGAATTCATTTTAATGGCTGGAAGTTGATGGAATAGGCACGCAGAGATATTTGATAGAGGAATGCCAAAATAACCTGGAAATAGCAATGACATATTGCTGTAGTGGAGATAAGGAGATAAGGAGTTCGCCTGCAAAAAGACTCATCTTTAACCCTTTTGCAGAGTTGCAGCATACTGAATTTTATTCTCTGTTTTCCAGCTTTTCCTGTTAGTTAGGACTCCCAGAGGAGAGGCTGGGCAGTGAAAACCTTTTCCTCCCTTTCTCCCAGCCTCCTTTTAAACACTTGCATTATTTTACCTGCCAGTCGGCCCAGACCTCCATTCCCCAGCCCTGCATCCTCCTCCATCTCCTCCAGCTCTTCCATGTCCAGGCCAAGCTACAGCAAAGCATTAAAAGACAAAACAAAAACCGGAAAAAAAAATCAGCAGTGTCATTATGTGCGGTCAGTTTGTGCGGCTGTGGATGCTGCAGAAATTGCTGCAATAAACCAGACCTGATAGATGGCTTCATCGCAGGCGTTCTGTAGCCCGAGGTTGATCATTGTGTTTTGGAGTGTTCTGCCCATGTAGAACTCCAGAGACAGATAGTACACTCGCTGGTTATGTGAAAGAAACAGAAACACTAAATATTTGCACCTGCTACATCATCAGTCTTCAACTACCCCAAAACACTGATAAAGTCTTTGTGGCTTTTGTTGCAGTTTCAGAAATGAAGCAGTAAGTGCAACAGACGGCTATTTTTTCTGCATAAAAAAAAAAAAAGAACAGTGGCTCATTCTAATAAGGAAAGTTTTATGCAGCGTTTAAGTACCTCCCATAAAAAGGGAAACACTAAAGCGCATAAAGTTGTGGGTTTTTTTTTTTTGTTCTCTCGTTTTAAATTTCAGGAAATGCATTCTCTGAGAAAACAGTCTACATGTAAAGATATTTTTAATCTGCCAGTTTGACACTCTGCAGAATAGGTTGGCTGCACTACAGCTGTGTGCGCGTTTGTGGTGGAGTTTAACTTTGACACTAAAACTTCTTGCTGTTACCTTTGGGTCCACCTCATAATAAAACTGCTGTGTTCTGATCCATCTCCCCACCAGGTGATCTCTCACGGTGTGGGCCAGGGCAAAGTAATAATCCCTTGGTGTTGCAATGTTTCTGTCTTTCACCAAAGTGAAGTGCAGGTGTCGATTAAAGCCCTTTTTCAGCTCTGCCACGTTCTCCACTCCCACGATCCCCCTGATACTGATCTGCTTGCGCTTCTCCTGGTCGGTGAGAGGTGTCGCCATGGTGGGTGCGCAGTGTCGGGGCTGGGAAACCGTGCCTGTCCTGGACTGAAAGTGAAGTTAAATGGGAAGAGAGTTGCCGTTTTCATGCACTAGTCTCCTCCTCATGCTGGTTGTTATTGGTGAGTGCAGGGGGAGGGTGGTGCCTCTGCTGACCTGAAAACGGCAGGAAGCAGAAACACCACAGATAAAGAATGAATGGCTCTTTATCTGCAGGGTTTTTTTTGTTTGTTTTGTTTTTGGTATGATTTGGTGTTATATAAAGGTGAGGAAGTGCTGACTGCCCTGAGTGATTTTATATGTAACGTAACAACGCATGCAAATATGTATACATGCATATAATAAATATATAAAATATTTTTTAAATATAATATAGAATTTTTTGCACGCTGTCATTTTGGGTAGCTTCCAAACTCTGTCTGGCCCCCCCAGTAGGTCCCTAGAGACACACCAGGGGACAAACTAATGATTTTATCCGAATCGAAAACTTAACTTTTTTATTCTTCAGATAATTACTGAGGAGTTAGAAAATCGCTAATTTGCTGTTCTGCGCACCTCATTATTGGAGTCAAATATAAAACTGAATTCTGAGCCACCAAGTGGCTAAAGGGGGTAATGCAACAGCTAAAACTTGGGGCTCTTCTGATACTTGTAAGAGAATTTGCAAACCGCTTTCCATTATTTATGTATGTATCCATATATTGTTATCTGAACAGGATTTAACAACAACCATTAACTATTATGATTTGTTCATAGCTCAGGCGCAGGAACTATAGTGTGCATCTCTTGAATTGTTTTCAATGTAATTTTTGTATTATGGTGTTTAAATTAAAAATAAAGTAAATAAAATAAAGATATATAAAGTAGAATAAAATGGGACACTTGTGTCAAGTGCAAGAGCCTAAAAATTATACATAACAATGATGCTTCAAATTAAAACCCTATGTCTGATTAACTGACAAGGTTAGTGATTTTATTTGGGTAGACTCATCTCTTGGTTGGTTTTACTTCCTGTCTTTGTCTTTTCTCCTCTCATCTGTAATTGTCTGCCCCATCCTTATTGGCTCCTGTTACTCATTTCTCTGCAACTCCACATCTCAGCCTCTTTAACTACCCATTTACCCAACATATCTTAATCCACTCGCTGCTGTTCCTTTTGTTGTCTTTTTGCTTTCCTGATGTGCACATCTTCCATCCAGCCTTTTCAGCCTGCACTGAATCTGTCTTGCATGCCTCCCGAGTCCTTCATTTAGGTTCTCATATCGACTACAAATAACAATAACACATTGTTCACACCTATTTATTGAATATTCACACATACAGAAAACACAGAGGCTCATATTATACTTCAAATCATCAGAATAATAGCAGTAATATGGTAATGATAGACACCGGAACAATCATAGTAATTATACTTTGATAAAATCATAGTAATACATTGATAAAATTCTCCACAGAGATATTTCAGGTTCACCGGAAATAATAATAAGCGATGACATTCCACTTCGGATCAAATGGGGCAAAAAAAGGAATCACTTTGGAGTTGAAATGAGGTCATAATGAAGGTAATACACACACATATTCACAGGCGCACACGCACACACATACACACATAGACTGTATGTATGTACATTTGGAGATATAACACCCAGTGTCGCCCAGCGACTGAGTGCAGTCCTTTTAAGAAATAGTTTCCATATTTGGCGAGGCTTTACGGTAGACTTAAATCATCCCCGGGTTAATCTATTTAATGTTGTATAAGTATATATGGCTGGTTTAGAAACAATAAGTGTTACAATCACACACTTTTGAATGTCAGCACCCCAAGTGTTCAGTTCAGAAACACAGATTCAGGTCATCTTTTTAAATCAAAGAAGTTTAAATATTTTCACAGAATATTACACAAGTGTGCGCAATCTCACATTAGACATATGGAAAATGTCTCCGATGAACTATTTTGCTGAGTTAAAGCCACATTGTTCACATGTCCTGGATTCTGAGGTTGTGTAATGCTTTGATAATGGCTGCACTTGTCTGCGTATGATTGAAAAGAAGCTCTCGTCGCTCAGTGACCCACTGCTGAATGTGTTATTTTCCGCTATCATAATTATGGCTGAACAAAGGGCTTACCTTGAAAAGCAGCCAGTTAAATGTTGCATAAATCAAAGCTTGAATTCAGCCTTGGAACGAAGGCTGTGCAGCTTGCTGAATGCTGCAGTCAGTATACATGCACGTACTCTGTCATACTGTACGTTATATTTTCTTTGTGCAGCCATTTTAGCAGTGCCACATGAATTACAATCACTGTAATTACACGGGACAGGAAAGGAGCAAAAAAATCAAACCTGACTGTGATTTTTCTCCCCAATGCTGTGGTTGTATCAGGTGCAAACATAATCACTGTTTCATTTTGCCCTTTCACGATATAAAAATATGTAGCAGCAGGTGAATTCAGGCATCGCGGATGTTACAGATGACTCTGCTGAAGCAACGAATCTAGTTCTTAGCAAAGTTTCATAAATCTTTTGGGTACTGAAGAGGGGGAAAAGGCACACCCATGAAGCTCAAACACAGGATAGCACCTTCTGTGTATGATGTATGTCTCAGGGCTACGATGCTCCAGGAAACTTTACAAGCAACCTGAAGGGGCAGCAGTTCCTTCAAATGGATCATTCTACATTTTGACTTGAGCATTGACTGGCAGCGTCTTGCAGTTGGTTGAATTCTGTAGCTCAGATACATTCACGTTCCTCTCAGGTTGATTTACCTTCTGGTGTGAGTTATCAGGCACACTGACCGAAAATTTAATCAGACTAACATAGGAGCTCTGAGCAGAATCTAATCATCCTGAAGGTTATGGTGTCCAATGAACTTTGCGGAAGAAAATATTTGTAGCGTTACTGAACTGTTTGAACTTTCAAGTGTCTTGACCCTCATCATTAGAAATACAGTACCGACTAAGGTGGGTTGTCTGCCATCAATCCAGTCCTATGTTGTTGAGGGGCTCAGTGTAAAAATCTAGTCTTGAGCTACCCCTCTTTTCTTTATATCTTGCTTGGTTTGGACTCTGGGGAGGTCAGTCCATGACCGATAATTTTCCTGATGATGTGCGACTGATCTGTTGCTAGTCAGATGCTTTCCAGATGGTATTGCATGTTAGATCAAAATCTGTTGGTATCTGCTGTAGAGAGTTTTTTAGGCCTCCCATTTCGTCTTTTGATCTCCCTTTTTCCAATTTCCTTAAATGTTTTAAGGACACACTGCACACCATACCAAGATATGTCACATTTTCAGCTAATAGCTCTTTGGGAAACAACTTCCTGGTGCAAAAATACTATTTTTCATCTGCCAAACTGTGTTATGTTTAAGATATTTCATAGATTTAACTAAAAAGTTGGAACAAATGATGCGCTTTGTGACAGGCAACTAGTAACAAATTGCCTAAAAGTGGTTCTTTGTGTAGACACAGTATTGTTTCATCACTTAAGTTAGATGTCTTTTAAATGTTTTAGTGATAGGTCAGTGTTGAGAAGCTTAACAAACAAAAAACATTTTTCTTAAAATGGTCAAGTACAAGGGCTCAACTGAAAATGAGTGAAAAAGCAGCAAAGCCTTGAGAAAGTCTGGAGAACTATTGCTTTAAATATCTGGTTAATTGGAAGGAAAATGTAAAGAAATACAGGGGTGGCTCAAGAGCTTTGAATAGTACTGTACATCTGAGTCATGGTATGCATTTTCCAAAACAAACTAATATTTAATTTAACCATAATTTAAGAGAACTTGGAGGCAGCAGGGTTCATATTTTGAGGGCATCAGAGAGGATGCACATCTGTTTTGTCCCCAGGGGCCCCTAAACCAGTTGAAACTAATCATGATTTAATGTATTAGTAATTGTAGCTAGCTTCTAATACAATTTGGTGCTAATATAACTTTTTGACTAAAAAAAATGCAAACTAATGTCACTCACCTCAACCTTGTGTGCTTTTTTAGAGCTTGTTAGCAAGTGTTCACACTTTTGAGCTAAACAAAGTAAACATTATCCCTGCTAAACACAGCATGTTGGCATTTTCTTTGTCATAATGTCATGGTAACATTAGCACTTAGCATGGCTTAATCTTAAATAAATCAAACTGCTGGTCTGACATTGTGGCCCACTGAGGAAGCCAGATGTGATGCCACAAAAACAGCCCAGCGTCTGCTTTCCTCTCCTGTTGCTCTCTAATGAAATTCAACTGAGAAGCTTCCTCAGCACGAAAACAAACTCTGAAGTACATTTTCAAGACGACAAAATGTTTCATTTCTTTCTGTAACAGCTATGTATCAACTGAAGGAAACATGAAGAACTTTCGTTGAAAAACTCTGAACATCAATAACTTATTTAGCTATACACCTCTTTGTAATAGATCATTTGAATAACAATAATAAAAAACTACCAGTACTCAATCACCTACATTTAAAAAAGCCAGAACTAAGCGAGCTGCTGTAGCACCTTATTCAAACTCACTTCTATATGATATATTAATCCAAAACCCGCTCTTTCCTGTTTTGAGAGCTGCACTGCAGAGAAAGGGTGCATGAAGGCCTCGCTTCCAGGAGTATCTCAGGCTGATACTGTAATTTTTCCTTTTTCTTTATACAAACGATACAGAAGGTTCACACAAGCTAAGCCACTAAGAAAAGCGTTTCATTTATACGAACGAGGATATGACAGTGACACGGCTGAGAGTCAGGCTATTGCTCTCGTCCTTGGATCGTTACGGCTGCTGACCCATCTCAACCAATCCTCACACGCTTTCATACACATGACCTCTCATTCTCCCTCCCTGTAAGTGTGTTCATGAGGAGGAAAATACATGTTTTTGAAAAAGAAAAGAGAGGGATGAGCATGAAAAATAGGATATATTGAAGTGTATGTGGATGGTATGATGGGGGCTCTTTTTTTTTCTTATAAACTCATTTACAAAACAACACCACTTTCTTGGCTATCCACTAAATATGAAGCTACAGCCAGATGTGCCTTAGTTTAGCTTTGCATAAAGACAGGAAAAAGGGGAAATGGGCAGCCACACTCTATTTAAATATGTATATTTAAATCAAAATATTTTAAAAAAGGTTGAAAGTTGGCGCCCACGCTAGCTTCCTCCCCGTTGTTTTCAGTCTTTATGATGAGCTATGTTAAGATGGGCTCCATAATCCAAATCTAAGTCTTGGAAAAACAAAAGCAAAACAAATGAGTGTATTTCCCCAAAATGTCAAACTATTAATTGAAGCCCACATTATAAACACTTTTCTAAAAACATTCCAAGTCCATCAGCTGGGAAATTTTCTTCTTCAACCAACTGGAACACATCATAATATCAAAATACAGGGTACAGACAGCAAAGCACCCTCCATACTGACAGTGTCCCAAGGATGGACCACGAGTCCGGGGTTTAGGCATGATAAAGGCATGGCTCAGCGCTGGATGGGACCTCTTCCAGATTGCTTGGGGTCAGTTGGTCAGGAACAAAAGAGAAGAAGACGGGAAGAAGGAGTTGGCGAGGGTATTAAAGAGTTTCTGACTGGCAGGAGGAACCTCGGGAAAGCTGGGGAGGTTTCCTTAAATCGGATGGTGTTGAGTTTTCAGCACACTGAGCCAGTTGGATCAGCCTCCCCAGGAGTGTAGAAGTCAGGGATGGGTAGACCAGTGTGCAGTGTGACCTAAAGAAAAACACATTTACACACAAATGGGTTACTAAACTAAATCTATTCAATATATTTTTCCTCCTCCAGGGGGAGCTGTGGAACTATTCCCTCAAAGCATGAAGACTATTTTTCTTCCCTTTGGGAGGCATTTTGCTTCCTGGATACAGCACTACAAATGAGAAAACTGACTGGGAGCAAAAAAGAAATTCAAAGCTTCTCACTGATGTTGACTCTTTGAAGCTTTTTCTCTGTTAAGATTTAATCTCCCGAGGACATATTTGTAAAAGTTAGATAGTTGTAATGAATAATAACTGAACTCATGTGATGCTTTATTAATTCACAAGCAGAATCCTCACTTTCTGTTTGTTGCGGCGCTCCGGCAAAAGACAGAATTAGCAAATTAAACATCATCCCCCAGAGCGGCTCAGCACTTCCCCAGCATGAGAACAAATTTAAGACTGAAAGAAGAAATTTAAATCGAAAGGAAAACTATAAACTTGTTTTCTGCAATACCGTGCAGAGTCGGTTCATTATTTAGTCTCTGCAGTATTTGGATGTAAAAAATATATCCATTTTTACTTAATTTTTCGCCTTTATGCCTCAGTATGAACTGAAGTTTAAGGTTAGAGAGTAAATTCAGTTGGAAACAGATGATTGCAGTTACTTTGGTGCATGCATGGACTGAAATTTTCTACCTGGACGTTTCGGTTGAGGCTGATAGCGGGGTAGTAAGCGCCCTCCAAGCCTTCGAATGCCACTGGGCCCTGCTGCTCATCGTTCACGAGGAAGATGAGAATCCTACGTGTAAAGTCCAGCAGCACTCCTATTGTAGCTCCTTTAGTGATGCCACCGTCTGTCCTGTGTGGGCACAGGAAAAAAAACAAAGGATAACCGTGTTATTAATTTACCACGGTAACCCTCCAGTCCTGAGCTTAGATTTTCCATCAAAACATGGTAAAAAAAATTAAAATCTAGCAGTGACTTATTTTAAGTCTTTGTCACTTTAGAGTCTGGATTCTTTCCAGCCTGTTAATCATATTATCAGTGCTCATATTTATCATGTAGCCTGTAACACTACTACTACTACTACTACTAATAATAATAAAAGTAACTACACCATGATCACATTTAAAAGCTATTTAAACATTCATTTACAGATGACAGACAGACATTTCGGTTGCTAGGATCAAAATTTGGCTTAAACAACATGAAATTGTGGTTTGGTCAGTCTGGTTGTATTATGTTGGTGTTTGGTGTGTTTAGTTGGCACACTTTAGGCCCCAAAGTACAAACTGAGCATCAATTAAATGGCACAGCCTACGCAAGTATCGTTAGAGCCCATGTACATCCTTTTATGGCCAAAGTATACCCATCTAATGATGGCTGCTTCTGGCAAGTTAACATAGAACGTCAAATCATCTCAATCTGAACATGGCGAAGAGTTCACCATACTTAAACAGTCTTCAGAGTCACCAGATCTCAATCCAATAGATCATCTTTAAGACAAATCTGCAGACACAGTGTGACGCTATCATGCCAATATTGTCCAGAATCTCTGGACAATGTTTCCATCTTGCAAAAGGGAATCTTTTTTTAAGTGAAGCATTTTCCTGCACCTACAGTAATCTTATGCTAGAAGTAAACTTTATTTTACTTAGTGGCCTTTTATCCTGTGTTATGACAGGACAGTTGAGAATTGACAGGGAAGCTTGGGGCAGATTTAAACCCAGGCCTCTGCAACAAGCTTAATAAGTAAAACTGGTGTCCCTTTTCTAAACACTATTATACTGTACATGTAAAAGCAGAAGACTTCCATTTGTGATCGAAGAAATTACATCTGCATTAGTACATGGACAATCACTTGTCACTTTCTTTATTACCTATTGGTGTGCGAGTTGTTGTGCATGAACCAGGAGCGGTTATTGTCCACATACATGGCCCAGGCTTTGTCATCCTTCCCTAGCATCACATCCTTCAGGACGTCACTCCGAGCGATGCCGAAGGCTGGGTCAGGGTGGTTGTCATAGCGGTCAACGGTCATTTCCCAGTAATGAACACCTCGAGAGAAAGCAGTGTTCCCCAAGACCACTCGGTCATCATAGCTGTTGCACGTCACCGTCAGGTTGTCGTTGGAGAAGATGATGTCAGGGTGAGCGGACGCCGGGTCAAAGGTGAACCAAGCAACTGCACAAAGGGAAATGCGTACCATTAGGTTTTTAGTGTTAATAATATCAGCGACTGCGAGATGAGAGGCAATGATCATGATTTTACAAACACCACATAAAACCAGAAGGTAAAGGTTAGATGAGGTGAAGTTACACTGTAAAAATATCTGAATGGAGGGAACAGTAATAACATGAAAGACAAGAAGAAGACTTACTATCATTGTTATGATCAAACACGATTAATAATACCTAAACTGTATACTTATACTACATAACTTAATCTATAACTTAATAAGCTTAACCACTTTTAGATAATTAAACTTGTGTCAAACAGTCTGCAAATCTTAACCGGTTCCTGCACGGAAAAGCAGATTAGTTTGATAATTATGGGTAAGGAAATTGTTAATAAAATAAAACTTAACTTTAAAATACATAACTAGAAACTTCTAATAGTTATTATAGTAAGAGGTCAGTTCACCCAAACAAGAAAAGAAACGTGAAAGGTAAAAGACTCTGTGTGGATGTTCATTTAGACTGTGAACTCAAGCTTGCTTGAGCCATGTGATAACCTCCACTATCAGAGCAGACTCTGCTGTGTCGGTCTACACAAGTTAAATTTGTATTGTATTTAGGTGAACTGCTCCTTTTCTCTATTACAACACATTGCTTTTAAACTTCTTAAACCACATGCTAATGATAATTTTGCAATACTGCTTGACTCACAGCTGAAAGACACAGTAACAGATCTCTATGCAGGAAGGTAAACAGGCGGGCTTTTGCTGGGCTCCAGTGGACCTGCTTTTACTGGTGTCACCATGTGCAGCGACGTTCCATTACACTGCTTTATTTCCCGAAGGAAATAAAGCAAAGACATTTATTAGAGGCTTGTATTGCACGTTTAATAAGTGCAGCCCACAGAGGAGCAAACTGCCCACCTGCTGGGTTGAGTGTGAAGACCTCATTGATGAAACAAGCAATGGCCTGAAGGGGATCAGAGCAGAAACAGTGTGCAAGGAGAGTCATCCATACCTGTGCCTATAGACTGAATATCACATGGAGGGAGTCCAGCTAAAATGTGAAATGGTGGGGGGAGTGAAGAAGAAAAGAGGGAAAAGAAAAGAGGAAGAGGAGGAGAGCAAAGCAAAGCAGTGAAGCAGAGGGGTGGGAAGGGTGGTGGAGAGGGTAAAAAGCAGATTTGATCAGGGATCCTGGTTCAGCTCATTGGACATAAGACCAGAGGAGATCCCCAAAATGAAAACAAAAGAGCTCCTAGAAACAAACCACTGCAGACTTAGAAGGAACAACGAAGGAACAATGAAAACAAAGCAATTGTTCTGAATAAGAAAAATAAGAAAAGGACAATCTGATCTGGAAGAAGGGTGCAACAACACTGAAAACGTCTGCGTGGTTAGATCACTTTGTACGCCTCCAACAGCTGCTGAGTGCTTTCTGTGTCAGGTAGGGAGGCTGTCTGGGCCTTTCAGGTCCACTGATGGATGACAAGCTTCCCCGTCTATGCAGATTACCATTTAACTAATGGGAAAGCCGGTACATGGGTGGATTATACACAATCCAGCTGCTCCTCGAGGCCCTTGGGCTAAAAGGCGCAAAACACACCTTTGAACAGAATTCACGTCCTGCTGCTGCCCACTGGATGAAAATCTTGTGTTTTGGAAGCCTTTAATAAATGTGATCATTTATTGTACTGCGTGAAATATAAAACAACAGAGGCTTTTTTCCGGATCTTTCAAATCCCTTTGAAACTAACTAACTCAAAAAGCCTTGTGTCAGTCTGAAGAACATCAAAGAAAGCAGATTTTCTCTGCAGACTTAATATATAATATAATATAAATACAGTATAATAATGAAAATATAAGGGTTTAACCAAGCAGCAGCAGGTTATGATTTCTTTAGATTCTCTGGAGTTAAATCAAGATTTCTCTGGTGTAAACTCCCAAATGTAGAAAGAAATGTAACTGAACTGTGATAATCAGTAAAAAAAAAAAGGAAGTAAGCCATTAGATTATATTACAAATGTTGTTAGAAACACCTGCCAGCTGTTTGCCAGCACGCAGATCTTCTTCATCGCATGACGTTACATTAACTACAACCACAGTGGTAACTACCCTTTTTTATGTTCATATAAAACACTTTGAAAATAATTCACTGTAACATTTCAGCTTATAATACAGCCAACAGGATAAGATCATGCAAGAAAAGTGTCGGCATATTTGGGAAGATGTCAGCTGCACCTGAGGAACAAAAACATGAAGACAAACACGTGGGTGTTAAAAATGCTGAAAATATTTGCCTCTAAGAATAAATCTTGGTGGTTTGTAGAGCATCATAATTTCCAGCTTTCCATCTTGGGATAAAAAAGCTAACTGTGTGCCTTTTAAAAAAATGTTATAATGCTGTAATATAAACCTCCTCTCATTCATTTCCCCCACTTGTCATGGGAGCTACCAGTTCTTATATCATTAAGAACATCAGCAGTATTCTTTCTGTCAGCCGTGCTTCTCACCTCTTTAACTGCCAACACACATCTGCTCATTATGCCCCTAATTAGCTCCCCTTGTAGATATACCGACTGGCTTTTGGCTCCTGCCTGTTACTGCCTTACAGACACCTCTGCCCAGCTCCATTTGCTTTCCTCGCTTTGTTTCTTTGCTCTTGCCACCTGCTGGTATAGCTCGTTTTGAGCTGGCAGCATACGAGCCCGTTACCTGCAACATGGATATTTATGATATTGATTTGATAATGATATTTTGCCTAGCAAGCAATCTTGGTGTTTATTTTAAAGATCAATCTACAAACTGAGCAGGACATTTTACAGTGTGGTAATGACAGACTGAGTATCTGAGCATTTGTAGCCAGAGGCTGCTCGACCAGTGGTGCACCCAACCTGGTTGGAAATTAAAATCACCAATAAAATATGGCAGCGCTGCAGTGTCCCACTGTGCAAGGACGTGCTGATGGTTTGACCATCTTTATTTATTGTGTATGATAAAAACCTAATTGCCAATGTTCTCTGTTCTCACTGTTTAAATGGAGACGTTGCAATTTCTCGTTATTTATCGTCTGACCTATACAATACACTGCCACTGATAATTAACTAATATCAGCGCTGGCCTGAGCAACCCAACATGTAGCTCTATTTTAAAAAGCACAGTGTTCTGAAAGCTTGCTTGCTCAGTAGCAAATATAAAATAAACGATGGCTGAATTTTGATTCTCTTTTTGCTCAAAACTGTCAGTGAGGTAGCGCTCTTAAAAAAACAAAACACCAATTCATACTTGGGTCTTTGCTCTTTCTAGATTCACAGTGATTTAAATTTACAGTGAAAACAAGAGGAAGAAGGAGATGAGGCTCAACGTACTCTCAGAGGTCTGCATGATCAGTGTCTTGCTGTACTGGCCGACTCCGCTGGCATTGAAGGCCTTCACCCTGGACTTGTACGTGCTGTTGAAGTGGAGCCCGTCCACTGTGCAGATGGTCTCCGTCCCCACGTACACTTCCTGTAAAGACACACAGTGCTTCCTGTTATGCTGGCAGATGCATCAAGTGCGTAACTATGACACCAAAGAGAGTCCATTTCTTCTGGAGGAGTGTCCCATTTGAATTTGGTGGAGAGGGTAATAAGAGAGAATGCGAGCTTGTACAACTGAACGTGGGCACGGCAGCCCACACTTGAGTATAAATAGACATGGGGACACAACTCGCCAGGCTCAGCGTGGAGCTGCGTAGGTGTGACTCAGTGAATCAGAGAATAAAGGAGGAAGAGAAAACTTCCCTCAGAATTTTTTGGCATAGTGCTGCATCAGATGCAGGTACAGCAATACAAGGATTTTAGTTTATATTATAGAGACGCACAGACCAGATGGCAAATTAATATTTAAAAACACACACACACACACACACACACACACACACACACACACACACACACACACACACACACACAAATAAACACAGATGCTGCAAAACATTCGCCACGACTCTCGTCTTGGTGCGTTTGTGTTGACGATCACACGCTAACACAAAAAGTCTCCAGGCTGTAATACA